ATAAAAAAATAATTTTTGCCCAAAGTATTTGGGCAATTTCGGCTACTAATAGAAGCAGTTTCGACCAGAAACCTTACCTTGTATCATGGGCTACAGTTGACTCAATGAACCAATATCTAGAATTTAAATAATCTTCCCTTTTTACCAGATGGTATTTAGAAGAAGATTTAACATCTTCCTTCTTCTTCTGAAAACCCCTTGGCATTTATTGGTACTGCGTGTTGGATGTATAACCAATACTTGGATGCAATTAATAGTGATATAAAAATAAAAAATATTTATGAAAAAATTATATCATTGTTAGAGATGCAACATTGAATGGCTTATTGAATAATTAACATCATTGCAAAAAGAAAATTTTCAAGTTGAAACTTAGATCTAAAAAAAGATAAAATACAGTCAATTGTCATTTCATCAAGAAGCAAATTTTTCATTCCTTAATGGTATTAAATCAAGTCAGGCCTTTTTTCTATTTTAATGTGAACAATGGCACTTATTTTAAGCCAAAAAAGCTGTGAATATATGTTGCAAAATTTATGCAAGTAAAATGTATATATATTTATGGTCATATTTTTCTGGTATGTTTTAAACTTAACTTGGAGCCTGTGTCTCTATTCTTCAAAAAATTATAACCAGTGGTGGCATTAACAACTCATTTATTTAAATCACTATACTAGTATTGTTTCATTTAGCAATAATTCCAATTGGTATCATGATAGCACAGATTTATTCAGTAATCTACTTTAAAAGGAATGAGCTTTTAAAAAAAAAAAGAATACAAGAAGAAAAATAAAGTCTATGAGTAAGTGTCATGAATTCTATGATTAAAAAAATAGATGGTGCTGGTTGAGATTGTTGATTTTGCCACTTGTCATTTTAGTTAAAAAACTAAGTTAGGCAATAAATTATTCTTCCAATTTTCAGGTTTGTTAATGTTCTTTTATTAGTTATGATTTTTCTTTCCTCTTGGTAAATTTCGTGGTTGATTTTCTCTTTCCTTAGATAGTTTTCAAGCATCTGAGCATCATATATTTTGAAAACATAAGGTGCAATCTTTTCCCTTTGGGCATTTTTTTTTAAAATACTTCCAATACTTGTATCTGATGTAAATTAGTTTCATATTAATTATTTTTATATAGTAGTAGTTCTATATATTGCTTAAGAAAAAATAAAGATAACAAAGTACTCCTTTTTGGGCATTTTTTTTTAAAATAATTATGTAAAATGCTTGAAGATCTGACTGGTGTTTTAACGAGATCACTACAATACACTTTGTATATAACGAACTTTTGGACTGGGCTAAAAAAGTTCGTTATTATTATAGACCAGAGTTTATTATAGGAAAATTTGTAAAAATCACGTGATAAACTTTATTTTTTTAATATATAAAAATATAACCGTTTTGAAAAATTACAATAAAAAATAAAATAAAATAATATATAACTGCTTTGCAAAAATAACAAATTAGTTAAACAAAGTATCTAATGTTGATTGTTGATTTGAATCAAATTTTATTTTTTTAATTTTTCTTTTAAGACTTTTTAATGGATTAATTTCATTATTGCTTAGTTGCAACTTTTCAGATTGTTGGTCAATGTATTTGTTTAATTTTTCTATCGCTAATAAAGCTTCTTTATTTGAAACAAGTGGAAATTCTTCAATGACTTCTTCTTCTTGATTTTGCTCATTTGGAGCAATCATTAAAATTATTTCTTGTTTCATCTAAAACCGCAAAATTATTAAATATAAAATTAATATCAATATTAAAATGTAAAATTACTAAATCGGAATTTATTATTAAATATACATCTAAACTCGATAAGTCGGACGCAGCAATCAATTGTTTAAAGTACTTTATAATATAAATAAATGTCCGACTTATCGAGTTTAGATGTGGTAATAGCAATATTAATTACTAAATCGGAATTTATATAAAATCAATATCAATATTAAAATGTAAAATTACCAAATCGAAATTTATTATTCAACGTAAAAATTATATACTAAATTAAGAAAAAAATAATAGAAAATAACCAATGCCATGTGATAATATATGATCATCAGTATAGACAGATATATATAGGACATATAGGGTGATTTTCTGAGACAGTTCGTTATTATTATACAGTATAGAAAATTTAATTAATAAATTCGTTATAGACAGAGATTTTTAAATAGTAAAAAATCGGGCTTTAAATCTCAGTTCGTTATAGAGAGAAGTTGTTATAGGCGGGGTCGTTATAGAGAGTGTGTACTGTGCCCACTTTTGTTAATACCAGTTTAATTATAATTGTCCGAGAGGTCTACAACTATTACTAAGATTTGATCCCTGAAATCCTTGTATTATTTATATAATCAGGGCTGCCGTGTAACTCGAATGAACAGTTGGCTAAATTGACTAAACTATTTACAGTCAAACCTTGCCACAGCGGATGGATACATAAGAAAATTTTATTTAAAATCTCGTTGTGGAAAGATTACTAATCTCGCCACAACGGATTTTGATATGTTTTTATATTAATATTAATATTAATATTAATAATATTAATATGGCAATAATTTAAAAATCCGTCGTGACAAGAATTTAATTATAGTCCGTTGTGGCAAGGTTTGACTGTAGTCGTATGTTGAGACAATTATTACCGAGTTCTGGTTATAATACAGTTAACCTCGTTTCAACGAACGAATTTTTTGAATTTTAAGAATTTTTTTATTAATAACAATAAACAGATTTTGTATTACAGCAACAACGAATTTTTAATATTAATATATATTTTTTTTTTTAATTTAAATTTGATTGATATGCAAAACATAAAATCATTTACAGTGCACAACTCCCCGCCGTTTTACCATAAATGATATTCGTTTGGAGCGACTTGGCATTGTACGATTTTTAATATTATTATTAATAATTACTAATCGCGTTTCAACGAATTCACGTGATAATTGATTTGATAACGGTAGTGTTACGCCAAAGAAAATAGAAAATTCTATAAAAATATTTCAAGCAATTAAAATAATGAAATCGAAATTTTGATCAGTGAATTGCCTTTTTCTTCGCCATTATCGGCAGAAGAATATATTTCGATCGATAATGGAGAAGAAGAAATTATTTCTTTATTGAAGAAGAAAAAACTGGAGAAAGCGGTACATCAACATCTGAAACTCTTACAGTTTCAACTAATGCTTGCTGCTGAGCCTTTGGAAACAGTGTACAATGAATTTAAAAACTAACCAAACATATACTAGTAGTATTGCATCATTTTTCAACATTTTTGATACTAACACATTTTATGTTATTTTTTAATAAAAAAAATTTTGTCGATCTGATCGTCTCAATAACAATTTTTAATAAGTGACCGGCCAATCCCATAGACAAATTTCATTGCTCATTGGCGCAGATTACTAACATATTAATATCTCGGCAACTATTGTCCAATAATAATGAATGTTTACATTTGTACCCTTATTTATATACCCAATTCCCAAAATTAATTCATTGATCTGCAAAATCTCCATCCTTATTTTTTTTTTTGTAATTTACCCACCCTTTTTGAAACAGAAAATTAGAAAATTCCTTCCCAAAAAATCATGTTCTTTTTTTTTGTTAATTAATCCTTTTCTCTACTCCAAAACCATCGAGTCTAGTTAATGGTTGCACAGATCAATTTTTGAATAGTTTTACAAGATTTAGAATTTGTTTTGTTTTGATAATAAAATAAAATTAATTATAGAAGTTTCTATTATTATTTCGGTTTCTTATGTTTCTAATTCTAATTTTCTATTCCAATCAAATTTCACAGGATCGTTGCACACAATAAAAATAATAAAATGTTTATATTTATTATTTATATTTATTTATTATTTATTATAATCATTATCATTTACTTATTACTTTAACATATGTTATAGTAGCAGTAGATGAACTTTAAACGGGAAACTTAAAAATTATCCCCTTCCGAACATTTTTAGATGACTGTTTTTTATGCTTAAAAAAATTTCATTACCACATCATCCACAAAAAGATATGGATCATTAAATTTTTATGGGCCCCCGAGTGTTAGCGATTAGTTTCTATTGCATAATAATAACGGTTCTTTCATATTATTTTTCTTTCTATTTTTTTTGAATCAATATTAAAGCGGTTACATCGTTTCGATTCTTTATTATTTCGGTCCCTGTAAATTTTTCTATCCCTGTAAATTTATTATTTATTTAATTGGGAGTAACACAATAATATTTTATATAAACAAAAATTTGTTAACCATATTATTTCTTTCATTAATTTTCATTTCTTTTAATTTTTTTTTAAATTTTAAAATTTAAATTCTCCTCCTTCTTTTATTTCAACCGTTCTCATTCCTTGTTTTGGTTGTTATAATTGGATTTTTTTAGCAAAAAAACGGCCCTCTTTGTTTGTCTGTCTGTTTGTCTGTTTTGTTGATTTTATTGTAATAAAAAATAAAAATAAACAACGCATCAGACATTCAGAGTTTTTATATTTTGGCTTTAAATTTTCATCCTCCTCTTTTTTAATCTTTTATGCATTTTTAAAGCGCTAAAAACACACAGCCAACAATGGGGACCGCTAACAATAACGGTGGAACTATTATCAGCTTCCCTCCTAATCATTTTGTAACCAGCCGAATGCCTTCACATCATCCTAATGGTTGTGCCAACATTACCTTTCAGATTCCTTCAAGTGAGTAATAGGTCTTGGGTGTAGAAAAGAGGGTGGCGTGTGTGTGTGTGTGTGTGTTTGATTGAATATTTTATGGATTTATTAATAATTTTTTATTTTGTTCATTTATTATTTTCAGTTGCTAACACTGTAAAAAAGTAAGTTTTTTATTTTTAGTTATTTACAATAAACTAATTAATCATTGATGAAAAATAAAACTAATCCCACCGCGCACTAACAATTTTCAATAAATAATATAGAAACACTAATACTGCAGAAAGAAGAGCTAATCATAATGCTGTAGAAAGAGCAAGAAGAGAATGCCTTAACACTAAATTTCAAGACTTAGCACGCGCATTACCATCACTTTCTCAAGTAAAAAGACCATCAAAATCCATAATTGTACAAAGATCATTAGAATTTATTTACAATGTTCGTCAAAAAGAGGCTTTACGTGAAAGGGAAATGCAAAATATTCGTGCTGAAAATGAATCTTTGCGTGAAGAAGTTAATAAATTGAGAAAACAATTAGGCATGGAGCCATTACCACCACCACCACCACCATCACCACCCTCAACATCACCTTTAATACGTGAAGATTCCACTTCATCATCATCCAATAATAGCAATACATCATCTTCACAATCCACATCTTCCACATCTTCACCATATATTCAGCAATTAACTGATGAACCGAAGGAGGACGCCGAAATCAGCAAAATTGCAACAACAACGACGATATCACAATCACCAAAAAATATTAAATTAGAGGCTGATAATCTCTCCATCACACCTTCAACCAACACCATAATATCCAATAATAATATCAATAATAATAACATTATTATTGATGTCATGAGTAACTCCATTAATAATATTAATGCCATGAATAACAACCATAACAACAATAATGTAAATTCTGCCAACATTATGATTGAAAATACTATTGCTACCAACAACAATAATGATTGTGGTAATTGTAATAACATTAATGGTAGTTGTTGTAATAGCAATGCAGAATTTGTTAATATTAAAAATGAAGAATTTTGTTCTGACGACGATAGACGTATAGATGATGATATAATGGACCTTTCTGAAAAATTAAATGGCAAAATATCTGTATCTGACAACAACATTGATGATCAACATGCTATTTATAATAATATAGGTTTAATTTATCCACCATTCAGTATGGAACCTTCTGGATATCCATCAAATTTTTTCGCTACCATAGATATGACATCAATTGATCAAATTGTCGATCCTAATTCTCTACAAATTCAATTTGAACACGATTCAATGAATAATAGTAATTGATTAAATTCTTTATGAATTCTTATATTTTTTTCATAAAATCTTTGATGTCTAACCTATAACTAACATCTATTAATTATTTATAGTGACAAATGATTTAGACGCATATTGTTCATTACTAAACAATCAAAAAATTTATCCATCTCCACCAAGCGAAGCTACAATGTTGAATCACAATAACAATCACATCTCCTCTAGATTTCAGATGCCGTCGGATAACCCTCTCATACAATAATAATTATTTTTAATTATTAGAACAATGGAAACTAAGCAATTTTGTCATCCTTTTTTTTTCTAATTTATTTCAAAGGAACATTTGATTTTAGAGAAAAGTTAATTATTATATATATTATATATATATATATATATATTTACCTATATACATATATATATAGTATTTATTTAATTTTTAATTTATTTTTTTTAAATATCTTTTTTTTTTGATTTTTTTGTAATATCAAATAGATTTTTCTTTTTTTCTTTTAAATATTTTTATTATTTATATAATTTATTTGTTTAATTTAATACTATTATTATTCTACTCATGTTTAAATACATTTATATATAAGTAATAATAATAACAACAACCATTAGACTTCACATCATCATCACCTTTATTACTTCTTTTCTCCCCTCCTCGCCAGATTTTATTCCACTCATTCATTCATTAATTACATACATATATACATATATGTAATAGTAATAACACTTCCCCTTTCTTTCCATTTTCTTCCTACTACATTCTTTCATTTTACACATTAGTATATATAATAATAATTATTATATACACTTTTACATTTATTCATCCATCAATCATTACATTAATCATTCCCTTTACATTATCATTATCATTCATTCCGCATTTTATTTTTTTGTTTAATATCCATACATAAATAAATACCTATTAAAATTTGTGTATAACTAAACAAACGGTAAAATTTGTTTATATATATAATAATAAAGAAAGATTTTATATATATACTCTGTGTATCCAGTTGAAAATCACATGATTTATTTTGAAAGTCCTTGCCCGATATAAATAAATTGGTATTAGCTTTTTATAGTTTTGGGGAAAAAATAACCAAAACAATATTATTAAATATGGACGACTATGATTATGAAAGATATGAAGATGAAATTTATAAAGAAAATGTGACAGATTCTGAAAGGTAATCAATCAATAACTACTATTTATATATTTTATTGATTGCAATTGTCGACTAATTCCAATCCTCATTATACGTACAGTGAATCATCACAAAACGCTGATAATATACTTGCTCAAATTTATTATACTGTTGAAAAACCAAAGCTAACCCAACAAGATCCCTCAAAAAACAACAATAGTGTCGTCAACGTTAATACTACCAATCTTAACCTTAATCATAATGATCAAATTCCTTCTTATAATAAAACATCACAACGACAGCAACAGCAACAACTTGTACAACAAGATCTTCACGGCAACAATAATAATGTACATGTTAACAACAGCTCTAGCACCAGTTCTAACAGTGCCATTACAAACAAACCTAGCGGCATAATTGCAAACAGTTCTAATACCAACAACAACAACAATAATAATAATAATAATAATAAAAAAAGTAAGAGAAGAGTCAGGCCTAAAAAAAAAAAAGATAATAATAATAATGTCAATAATGACAATAGTAATACTCATGTTAATAATAATGATAATTTAGCATTATCTTCCAAACTTCCAACTGTTGTTACATTAAACAATAATACACCTTTGATAATTATAGATGATGATGATGATGACGGCGAAGACTCTGAAGGTAAATATAATAATAATAATAATAATAATAATAATAACAATAATAACATTATTGTTATTATTATTAATGATAGTATTAGTAATGTTAATAATGTTCACAATTCACTAAATAATTACAATGATAAACTTGAATCATCAGAATATTCAAAATATTCAATGATATCACATAAAAATAAAACATCATCAATAACAACTCGTCGTCTTTCATTTATCGATGTTGACAATTATAATTACAATGATAATTCAAATTCTGGTTCTAGTTATAGTTCTAATTCTGATTCTGATTCTAATTCTGATTCTGATTCTAATTCTGATTCTAATTCTAATTCTAATTCAGATCCTAATTCAGATTCTATCTCTAATTTTTATAAATTTAATTCTCCATCATTCAATAATAATAATAACAATAATAATAATAATAATAATAATAATAATAATAATAATAATAATAATAAAGAAATCAGAGGTAGCGGTGTTGGTGCTGAATCTTTTTCTAATAATATTCTCAATACTTTTAATGCTCGTGATCATATCGGCCTTGGAATTGGCGCTAATAGTAGTGGTGGTGGTGGTGGTGGTGGTGGTAGTAGCAGTAGTAGTTTTTATTCTCTTAATGTAACGACGGCACCACATAATATCAACAATGATATCAACAATCATGTCAACAATAATATAAATAATAATACAAATAGTGGCGACAATATTTCCACTACTAGTCCTTTTGCAAAAAAAAATTCTATTACTATTGGTAGTACTATCAGCAATACTATCAGAAATTCTATCGGTGGTATTAATAATTTCAATGCTGCCAATGTTGGTGGCAGTAATAATCCTAGATTAGATGATATGGCTACTCATATAATAACACCAATCAAATTAAAAAATCATCCTGGTATTTTTCATCCCAATAAAAAAATGAGAGCAGATCTAGATGACGATAATTATAACGGAGAAATTTCTTTTACATCAGTAAGTATTATTATTGGCTTTTTTTTAAATGAAAAAAAAAAAAAGAATTCATTAATATAAATAAAATATACATGTATTTATATATGTATAATTTCATTAAATGGTGTTTAGGGTATACCCAGAGAATCTGGTTGTAGTTGGTGTAACGAAACTACTCATACTGAAGAAGTATGCGAATCACAGCTCCGTATTCATGAAGTGGTCTGTTTTCTTTTCTTTCCTTTTTATTTTATTCTTCCTGATACATTTAATTTTTTTGATTATTTTTTCAATATATTAATACACATAATTTTCATTATATAATAATAATAATATTGAAGCCTTGGAGACAATATAAATTAGAAGATCCACCAGCAAATCACAGACCTAGAAAAGTATATTGCTTTAAATGTGCAAGTCCAAAACATACTGGTCAAGTGAGTAACTATTTTTGATGATTATTGTTGTTGTTGTTGTTGTTGTTGTTGTTTTAAGAATAATATTTAATATTAAGAATAATACTCTAATTATTTAGCAATGTGATGTAAGTGTGCCAAGTTATTATCATTCGCATTATTAATTAATTAATAATACTATATTATTATGACGAGGATGATGAATATTGAATAATTATGTATCGAATGTATGGATGTATGGATGTATGGATGCATGGACAAAAATACTAGTTCAATTGGAATTAATTATAAAATCTTTAACAAATGTTCTATTAGATTTATTAGAATAAAAATAATAAAAAATAAATTTTTTAATATTTGCTTCATATTTTATTTATCAGCAAAAGATCAAATATTATTATGCTGCGTAACTAATAAAAAGATCTGTTTTTTTAAAGAACAAAAATAGAATAGATTATTATTATTGACTTATCAAGAAAACAGGGTTTTTTTTATCGAAGAGAATGGCAAAGGAAAAGAACGCAGTTATTAGTCTAAAGATTGCGAACTTCTAATGTTTTTCAAATATTAGAGAGCAAATAAACTCGACTTTGGTCAAACATTTATTTATTAAGATTGAAATTACCAGTTCAAAGTCATATATACTTCTTTTAGAAGAGGATATTAATATTGTGATGAATAATTATTTTTGAAGCTTCATAGCAAGAATAAACTTATCTTCTAAATAAAAAATTAAAGACGAGGTGGAATAGTCATTTTATTTTATAGTGAAATCTTAGGCTACGTTAGGAAATGTTTGTTCTTATTTATAAAATCGTTGTCAATGACAGATCAATGAAGTATATTAAATCAGTTAGTGCAGAAATATATATACAATAAAGAAAAATAACGCACGTTGCTGTTATGTAACCCGAGTAATCATAATTTAAAGAAATAGATCGAGGATCAAGTGAAGCCAACGCTTCTATTCTATATTGGCTAAATTTTTTGTAGGTAATTTTTTTTGGATAGATGTTAACATAAGATGGAACGAAAGTAATGCCCGCAATCATATGGGGGACATTCTTTGTATTAATTGATTAAATTTCGAATTCGTGTTACTGAACGCTTTTTTATAATAAACTTGGATTTCGCTATTAAAGTAAAACGAAACTACTACATTAAAGCTTTCTAATGAAAACTTTTCGTGTTGAAAGGTCTTTTCTGCATAAGGTTGCTTGCCGAACCCTCTCAACGACTGCCGAAACTTTAATAAACAATTAGTGTGTAACACTGCCAATTGATTTCCGGAGGAATTTTGGCAAGCAACCATATTAATATTTCTACATGAACTCACGGCTATTCAAAAACGGTATTACTTTTTCACTTCAAAGCTCAGATTATTTCTTAACATCGCTTTAAAATACTTGATAGTAAATGAGAAGGTGTAGAATACTTTAAGCTTTCGTTGGTTATTACTTTATGGGGGTGTTGGTTAATAAGTTTTAGAGAGGTCCACGAAAAACTATTTTATAGAAGTTTGATAATAATAAAGAATTTAAACTTGATTTGCAAACTTCATAGAACTTGACTAACTTTTATTTGAATAATTGATAAAACGTTTGTTAAATATATTTTACAAACAGTTTCATAATTTTGACTAACACTTATTTCGATCAAATCCGCCTATATAATATTGAATAATTGTTAAAACGTTCATTAAATATATTTTACAAACTTGCTTTTGAGGCTTGTACGTCGTCATACATCTTGTATTTAACAGTTACTTTAACAAACTCGCAACCTATTGTCAACTCTACTTTTTCTATTGAATCATTATTTTTTTAGATTACACAATAAAAAATTATGGAATGGAATTTATCCAATGAAATGTTGTAAACTGATATCCCATATTTTGCACAACTTGAAAAGAGTTGGTAATATAAGGCTCATTTTCCCATTACTAGGGAAATGGCGAACCCATGTGACTCACTTATATGTGTTATTAAAATCCAGCAAGTGAGAGAATGGAATGCTTGCTGGTGGCTCATGCTGGGTGTATTGATCCTTTGTGACATGACCTCTCTCTTTTGTTAATTATTATTATTATTTAAAAGAAGGAAACATTTAAAAAAATGAGAGATAAAATTTGTTAATTAATCGATTGGTTAAATTTGTAATATACAAAGATCACAGACAATCCAATTAGTAGTTGTTATAGCAACATTAAACAATAATATTAGCAACAAATAGCAAATGATGACAATGAATCATCATTTTTTGAAGATGATAATAAAGATTAAGATCCATGGGAATCATTCAAGATAAATGAATAAACTTTTACCAATCAAGTTATCATTCGGGTTTAACTATGTCTTTGACATATCATGAATAGGCCAAAAAAACCAAAAATGAGTCAAATAATGATGCAACTGATTTAATGTGAATCGCTTTATGGTAAAATTTTTGACTTTTGCTTTATAGCTAATGAATACAAAAAACAAATTTGAAATTAGATCTCACTACACATTTGAAATAATGACTCTAATTATGGGAATTATTGAGGAATGAATGGGATAAGTTTGGTTTTTACAATATTATCTATATTTATTATTATTTTATTTGATGGTATGAATGGTTTATCAATTATTAAATAGTTTGTATAGGTGTGATCAAAGTAAGTGTCAAGGACAAGATCTATGAACCTTAACAAACCAAGTTTTGTAAAAACACAATATAGCAGAAGGATTTTTGAGAATGGTCCAACTTCCTTCATGCAAGCTAATATTGACTGATGTGGCAAGTATTTATACTGATCTTGTTTGATATATCAATGGGGAGAGTGAAAATGAGAGCAGGGAAAGTGATGTTGAGGTGGGAATAGGTTGATGTAAATTTTATTCTTTTACTTGTTATTTTTATTTTATTGTTGTATATAGCTTTCTTTAAATAGTTTTTTTTTGTTGTATATATATTTTTTTTTATATATGATAAAATTTTTTAAGTTGTTCAAGGTTGCAAATATATGGGTCTATTGAGACTAACGAGTTTTGATCTGGTCCATTGCCATTAATAAAATATTAAATATGGTTAAAATGGACCATCAATGGACTGGTATCATTGTCAACCCTGAGTTATATATGATAAGTTATATATATCTTTTACTTTTTATTACTATCAGAAATAAATGAATTATTTTCATTAATTATAATAATAATAATTTCAGCACATGAGCACCTTTCAAGAAAATATATGAAATAAATACAATTTAACTCATGAGAATTCATCATACATAGTTAACCTAGGATCAGATTGGTTTCAGTTTTCAGTAGGTGACTTGGTGCTATCATGGTACATATGTATAATATTAGAAATAACTAAATTCTTCTTGAGCATCAGAAGGAAAAAGTATGTATAAGAAGGAAGGTTAAGTAAAGATATTTAATAAAGAATGTGTGTGCCGATTTTGTGATGAAGTTCAACAATTATATAAGCTTGTATTATCAACAATGGAGATTGTGACACATGAATGTTGGATTGAACAGGTTCATGACAGGAAGTGTATAGCAAAGGTTATTACTGATGTTTTTTGCAGGAGATAATATTTAATGCACTTTGTAAAATTTCTAGAGATTCCATAATGGCCCACCTTATACCTGTCGAATGTGGGATTGATATAACTAGGGCAGAGCATCAAAGTATAGTCACTAAAAACTGCAAAGCTCAGTATGGCAGAAGGTCAAGAGGGATCTAATGGTATGTTGCTTATTATTCATATATTAAAAATTAAGATATAATAACAAGATTTAGTAAGAGCAGTTGATGTGATCTATGAGTCATCAATTAGGGTTATAAAAAAAAGAATAATTCTTATGATGCTAAAATATTATAATCACGAAATCCTAGAAATTGAACAAGTGATGCCACATTATCTTTTAAAAAACATATATACAGTATATCCTTTTTTACTTAGCATCATAGAAAAAATGAACATTATCTCAAGCTTTACAACCAATTACGATTTATAACTTCTAATCTTTTATGTTCTTCTAAAGCTGTTTTGGAATAACAGAAATGTGTAATTTATCTGGTCTCGGCCCATTGCAATGTATGCCAATGTTTCAGGTAAAACCTGAACCTAATTCTAAGATTTGAAACACAAATCCGAAATCCAGAACTAATCCAAAATTCTAAAACTAATCTAAATACTAAGTTATGATAAAATCTCACATTATAAAAAATAGTAACTTCATAAAAAAATCTAATAAGGAAATTAAAGCCCAAATTGATTGATTTTCTTGTTCCATTTCCAGTGTTGAAAATTAAATCGGTGCGTGTCACGTTACACCAAACTTCATGTGCACGGCAATGTTTATTTACTTATTACACAAATTAAATTAAAAATTATTATATATTGCAAGCATGCAATTTCAATTACAGCTCATGAGGTGTCCAATAAATATATAAGATAAAATAAATGTAAAAGTCCAATATATAAATCCCCTTATCTTCACACACAGCTAAGGGTTCTTTGATACCTAAATTCTCATGGCCTCTGTCTCCACACACAGCTAGGAGCTCCCTTTGTTCTATATTGCGCAATTCCTACTCTACAGTACTAATGCTAAGTACTGCTGGCACTAGCCTAATGCAAACATGTAAAATACAGCTTATGATGTGTCCAATAAATATATAAAATAAAATACAAACATCCAATATATAAATCTCCCTGTATCTGCACACAGCTCAGGGTTCTCAATACTCTATACCAGGCCTTTGTATTTGCACACAGCTCAGAGCCTACTCAAAACTCTCTATTGCACAATTCTCTCTCTCTCTACAGTACTAATACCAAGTATGGTTGGCACAAGCCTAAGATAATAAAATAAATAATATTTTATTCCACTGATATAGCTAAGGCATCCCCTAGGTGGAATAGTTTTTAATTAAGGTGAAGGATGCTTTTCAGCAAGAGTTTGTTAAAGGAGTAGGTACGCATAATCTTAAAGATTATGTACCTACTTAGCCAGACTATGTATCTACTAGGATTAGATTATGTATCTACTTTGTGGCCTGATGATGAGAATTGGCCACACATGAGGGTGGCATGATTCAATATTTTGACCACATGTGAACTGTAATCAGGATAACGATGTAATGTTGTATGATGAAATGTTTTTGGAATTGAGAAACTATTTCATCAAATGCATTAAAAATGACAAAAGGCTAAACCCTTGACAAAAGTCAAAACCATTGACAAAAGTAAATCGTTGATGAAAGCCAAAATCATTGAAAATCAGATTTAATTTTATTAAAATAAATTTTATTATGTTATCAACTAACAATTATTTAGATTTTTGTTTTTTATTTTTTGTGACTTCATTATCAACATTTCTTCTACGTAAATTATGTTGCTTTAATATAAGTTTTGACTTTTCTTTTTTTTTTTTTTGATATATTGCAATTATCATTGTTTGTGTTAAGATCATCTTCAATCTCCACATCATTATTCCCATCTTCTAAATTACAATCTTCACTTTCTAAGTAATGAGTGACCCTGTTTTCAAAATTGTCACTACTTTCAATCTCTAAACTTCCATTTCCATTTAGAAACATATCATCCTGATGTGGGTTTTCAAAACAAAGGTTGTCACTTCCAAATTCAGCACTATTATTCTCATTATCTAATACATTATTATTTTCATTTTCCAAGTCATAATCAAAATTATTGAAACTAAATTATTTGTGTTATAATTTAAATCATTATTTTGACTTTTAATATCCAAAACTTCATCAGTTTCATTACTAGTATTATCATTTTCATCAGTAAATACTGTATCATCTAATATCGTAATATCATCAACCACTAGTAAGTCTTCTTCATAATTATATTCCAACTCATCTTCATTTTCTTCTAGATCTTCTACATCTTCCACATCTGAATCATTGTAACTCGAATTGTTTAAGTTCATTATCTGAAAGTGAATGATCAAAATTTTGAACTTCTTTTTTGTATTTGAAAGATTAATTATATCCTCTCATATTATCTATTAGTTAGTAGTTCACCAAGCAATCAAACTCGACATACACATCAATGGCTTGGTCTGAAGAATCGTAGCCGTTGGCAATGACATTTTCTGAAGAGGTTATGAAGTTATGATGTTTAAGATTTCACGCCAAGTGTACAATGCTTTTCGAAAGAAGACAAGGATAAAAAAAAGACATGGAGATATCAGCAGCAGATCACATGTGCAAAAGTATCACGTTTCATGATCCTGATTATAATGATTAGATTTTGCCGTTACTAATATCAATGATAAAAAGGTTTCAACTGAAAGCGTTAATAAATAAATATGAAATAAGACCAAAAAAAAAAAAAACAGAAAATAAAATGTAACAACTGAAAATGTTGATGAAGCAAACATGAAGATGATGACCAAAATCTTTTATGAAAGAGAATGTTCAAATGAAGAAGGTCCTATATACGACCTTGATGAAATACGAAGATTGTTCCAAGAAATAGAACCAAGTTTGAAGGGGTTTTTTGACCAACTCTATTTAGCAACTCGGCCATTTGAACGTAATAATCTTCTTAATAATACAAAAATTAACTCTTTTAAGTTCGACCTTGCATTCTATATAGATTCGGTGGGTACTATCACTATATCAAGCATGAAATCAGTATCCTTTGATTACTAAAACTTCATCTAATGGTGTTAATTGCATTCTTTAGTTTACGAAATAACCGATCGTCACCTTCCAAGAGGTTTTGTTACTTCTAGGAAACCATCTACTATACTAATTTGAATAATTGTAGTGTATATATACTCACGTGTGGACATGGTTATCACAATCATTGTCTACATAGGAGCCAATCCAAACGTTTGATATCTTGGACTATCTTGAAGTCGAAATCAAAAAAAAACGTCAACGCACTAAAAGAAAGTATAACGAAAAGATTAAACGAAAATGAGTTTATCGAAAATATCGAAAATACAGTTGATGATGATCTTGGTAACGTTGAATCAGATGCAGCAACAATGGAAAATTTTATTAGGACATGCAAAAAAAATTTTTTTGGGTTGTAATTTTGTTTTTATTAAAATTTGTTTGATTTTTTCATACATCGTTTATGTTTTGTCTTAATCGTATATCTTAAATGTTGGCATTCGTTATATTAAAGTTACTTTGGTTATATCGAGAGGTATGGTCAAGAGAAGAGTTAGGAAAAGAGTTATTCTTAAGCCAAGTCGAAACCAACCCTTTAAACACATTTTCGAGTAGTTCGAGTAGTACAATTTAATTTGTTAGACTATTTCAAGGTTTGTCCGCATGGTTACTTCCAATTTCTTAAATTCAAACGAAACAACTGTTGGTGAAATGATTGTTGACAAAATGAATCAAACCAACATTTATTTATTTTTACGTTATCAAATTCACGATTTTGATTGGTCAATCAAAATTGCATGGGTTAAAATTTTGTTACCTGTTCTTATTCCTTCGCCCAAACAAATAATTGTATTTTATGTGTCAATGATTAGTATTAGTAAACGTTCTGGTCTTGGAGTAATTCTTGTTTAATTAATATTAATTTCGGATATTTTAATTTTGGCGGATGTCACGGAAATTCAAATTGGCGGATGAATTTTGGCGGAAAACTACATGATTATGGAATAAATGAATAAAAATACACATCTAAACTCGATAAGTCGGACATTTATTTATACTTTAAACAAGTGATTGCTTGGGTCCGACTTATCGAGTTTAGATGTGTATAAATAGAAATAAAAAGATTTGATTCGGAATTAGGGTATTTCGACCAACAAATCGGCATTAAATCCTAATTCCGATAACAACTGCATACAAAATTCGCTTTCATTTTTTTTATAAATACTCTTACAGTAATCCTATACAATTTGAAAATCAAGAAAAAGTGAAAACTTGACAAAAATTATCTGAATAAATCAAAATGAAATTCAATATTTCTATTCTCTTTTTGATTATCTTTGCTGTTGTGGCTTTAGCAATCCCAATTCATGACAATAATTTGGCGAAGCGAAGTACTTCATTTATTATTATATTTACTTTACAATAAATATCATTATATTCGATATCATTGTTTTTGAAAAAATACTGACTATTGGGTTTCATTTGATTTTAAATAATAAATAGTTCCGTAAGTATTTTTGTACTACTATTATAGTCAATATCATTGTTTTTGAAAACATATTAATTATTGGTTTCATTTTATTCTAAATAATAATTAGAGCAGTAAGTTACTATTATTATAGTTAATATCATTGTTTTTGAAAACATATTAACTTTTGGTTTTCATTTTATTTTAAATAATAAATAGGCTGTAAGTATTTTCACCATTACACTATTATTACCAGTTAATATCATTATTTTTGAAAACATATTAATTTGTTTATTTCATTTTATTTTAAATAATAAATAGCAAGTAAGTATTTTTATCATTGCACTGTTATTACAGTCAATATCATTGTTTTTTTGAAAATATTAACTGTTAATTTTCGTTTTATTTTAAATAATAAATATAGGGTGTAAGTATTCTCATCATTTCACTATTATTACAGTCAATATCATTGTTTTTGAAAACATACTAATTGTTGATTTTCATTTTATTTTAAATAATAAATAGTGTGTAAGTATTCTCATCATTTCACTATTATTACAGTCAATATCATTGTTTTTGAAAACATACTAACTATTAGTTTTTATTTTATTTTAAATAATAAATAGACTGTAAGTATTCTCATCATTTCACTATTATTACAGTCAATATTATTCTTGAAAAATATTAACTGTTGATTTTCATTTTATTTTAAGTAATAAATAAAAAGTAAGTATATTTCATCATTATTACAGCCAATATTATTCTTGAAAAATATTAACTGTTGATTTCCGTTTATTTTAAATAATAAATAAAAGGTAAGTATTTCTATCACTTACTACCATTACCATTGTTTTTGTAAACATATTAACTGTTGATTGATTTTCATTTTATTTTAAATAGAAAATAGTTCTTTGGCTCTTTGATAACTTCATTTTATCTCTTTAACTTTTTTTACTTTCATCTTATTTTTTATCTTTATTTTTTATTGTTGGTTATAATTTTTACATTGCTTAAGATTCATGCAAACTATAATGTTTTTATATTATAACATAGGAAGCAAACATAAATAAAACATTATAATTTGAAAAGATTTATATGTGTCAATTTAAATGGGAAATGAAAATGAATCCGATAAAAAGAGTTAAATAATAATACAGTGCGGATCATCTCAAAAGTCAAATTTTTTGAAATATTATGGTGCATCCACACATCGGATTTTAAAAAAATCACCACCATTTAAAAAGGGAGTCTATTTATTAATAAAAAAAAGGAAATAAATAAATCAAATAAATCAAATGAATGTTGTAGAAAATATTCTATAATGATAATAATAATAAAGTTGTTACACGAAGTTTACCCGGTCTCAATTTCTTAAGTGTATAACAAAATTCAGAATTTTCAAAATGCTAAGGCTAGGTCTTCTATTCGTAATACAAATTCTTATTCGAATTATTTGTTTTATTATTGTTGGAATCTTGGGTTTGTTCATTCATTTTATTAGATTATTTGGAATCGTGGGTTGTTCAATTACTTAAATATTCGAACTATTATACAACAAGGTTTAATATTGATTTTATTATTATAAAAATTGAAATTAAAAATGAAACTAACAAGGAAAGACTGAAACAAGATTCATGTTTCTTTTAATAAATAGCAATCTTTCCGGTGAGCTTGGATTTAAACTGGGCCTTAATTATTTGTTTTATCCGAATTAATTTTTTCGAATTATTTGCTTTATTCAAAATTAATCTCTTTATCCGAATTATTTTCCTTATTCGAATTAATTTTCTTATTCGAATCAATTTTCTTATTCGAATTATTCGTTTTATTCGAATAGAAGCCCTAGCTAAGGCTCAGCTAATTTTCAGTTTAAGCCGATAAGTTTTGAAGCTTGAGTCATGAGCAATAAAACTTATCGGTTAAATTTTTTTTTGTTTTAGTATTTTGAAGTTGACCGATTGTTATTATTATAGATGATCTGCACCGTATTGTTATATTAATTTTACCTTTTAACTACAGGCATTATGAAAAATTTAAAGAAAACTGGCTTTTTTGTTTTCACAAAGACAATTCTTTTATGCATAATCATATTCATAAAATAAAATAAATAATAAACTGGTGATTGTGATAACCATAAAACTTTCTGATAATTGCTTCCGTATCGTAAATTATTTAATGACATGTTATCATTCAATACAAATGTCTTTTTGGTTGCTCATTTTGTGATGTTTGACTTGGAGATGCGTTTCTGACATTCATAAACTTTCCACATATTGGATACAATCCCCATTCTCCATCACCTAGAATTTTTATATCTTCTGATGCAAATTCTTTCGATGATCTTCCTTCCGTCAAGATAAGTGTACAACCTTCTGAATCCTTTAATCCAGGAATATTAATATTAATCCTAGTAGTAGCAATAGAGCAGCAATAATAGTGGTTTCTGGTGTTGGTGATATGTACCAAGAAATATAAGTCAAAGTTTTAGTTAAGTAAGCCATGCTAAATATATAAATTAACTAGAATAGCTCTCTCTCTAACAATATTTACCCGATTAATGCATCTTCTCTACTAACAATACTTGTTGTTTGATTATTCTTGTTGGGCTTTTTTTTTGTTATTGTTTACACAATTACTGAATTGTGTTGATAACAAGAAGTAGTGTTCTACAAAAATTTTTCCAAGGTATATATATATTAGTGAGTAATACATTATTTGTGGCTAAAAAAAACTTCTAGAAAAAAATTTTTTTTGACGAATTAACAAAAAATTACAATAATTTTAAAAGATGGAAAACACTTTGGATGAAAATAAACATCATGGTGAAACTTCTACTGGCAAAAATGATGATGATGAATATTCTGATAAAAGATATGAAGAATATGGGAAATGTTCAACCTGCAATGGATATAACACCAATTGGGCATGGTGTCAATCATGTGATCCAAAATTATTAACTGAAGGATGGACTAGTGGCAATGAAATATTAGATGAGTTGATTAAAAGCACACAACTTGAAGCAACCAAGTATCATTATAGTAATCATCTTCAATGGATTCTTTATAATAATTTAACAAATATTGAAAAGATAGGTGAAGGTGGTTTTGCAACTCAACTATATCTAAAGCTACTTGGTTAAATGGTTATAAAAGTGTAAATTATAATAATGAAAGAGCTAGCAAGAATATGATTGTGGCATTAAAAAAACTACATAATTCACAGAATATTTCTGACGAATTTCTTAATGAGTTAAATTATTATTTTCCAACCTATTTTCAGATTTTTTAAATATTATTGATTATTATATAATTTTATTATTCCATTAGCAACCAACAGCAACTGGCGATTGAATTAGATATGTGATTGATGTTTCAAATGAAACAAAATGAATAAACTAAGTAAAGTTTTAGGAATTAATCAAGGTAACATAGAAAGAAAATATGTTTTTTTTTTGAAAAAAAAAAATCAACTATATATTAAAAACATGTGTTTTTTATGAATATTCCAAATTTTCATTGTTCCTTGTTTGCTGCAAATAGTTAATAGTGAAAAAACAAATTATGAATATAGATAAAACTTTAACATATATCATATACATGAAACCTATTTCCAACACATGCAGTTAAGAAATAAGCAGTCCCAAGGCTTGGAGGCCAAAAGATATATCATTAGTGACATAACATATAGCACGAAAAGGTTGAAAAATTCTGTTGCTTTCAATGAACTATCACTGTTTAATTAGTTTTCCTTTTCTTAACCATCTTTATCATAATTAAAAATACATTAAACTCTTATTTATTTGTTTATTTATAATAATCACAATAATTAGAAAATGTTCTATATTCTACATAAAATAAATATTTCACATAATATCTAAAGATCTTAGATGTTTAGAATTATCTTCAATAACTTTAACATCAAATTCTTCTTCAAGTATTAAATCAATAATAAAACTGTCAGGACTAGATTTTTTTGTTACATTACATTTAATACAAGGTATAGTCATATAAATGTGAGTCTTGATTTTTTCGCCAAATAACCTCAATATACTATAGCCACAACTTTCATAAGGCCTCAATCTATTTACAATTTTTTCAATTCTAGGACTAACAATATACATCACATTACTAATATCTCCACCAATATTATTATTATGAAATTGTATATTGACTGATTTACGAAAATTGAATTCTGCCTCGAATATACTACTTTTCAATGCTGTAATAAATCCATCTAATTTATCTGATAACGTTTCATTAGAAACAAATTGATTCAAAGGTGCATTAATTGAAATGTCAACTGGTATTTGGAAAAAATCCAATTCTGCTCTCAATTCTCGTCTTGAAACTGTCGTAAAACTATGGCTATTTTCATCAGAATTTTCATTAGGCCAATATATTTCACCATTACGATAATATTCAAGAATGTATCGAAATGCATATCCATTACGATCAATAAAATATTCATTTCCATTCATTGCTTCAAGAAATTGTTTATTTTTATCTTGAAATAACATCCCAAGCAATGTGTCTGGGTATTTTTTTAACGTTGACCTATAAGTTTCATACTATAAATATATACAGCATGTGCATTATGAATGTGTGCGCATATATAATAATAAAAGTTTATTGATTATTTTATAATACTTACTTTAAGTCCACCAACATTTAATATCACTCGTTCATTATTAGGATCATTAAGAAGTAATAATTTATTGTTAAGTTGATCATAATTTGAATATTTTGTTCCGTTTTGTTCATTCATTTTTTTAAAAAAAAAATTTTTTTTTCAAATGCAGTGTTACTAAGATCAGGCAGAAAGTGATAATAAAAATATAGAAAAATTTGATTTTATCACAGTAACTCACTACTCCAAATTTTATTAAGCTAAAAATGCTCTTCGCAATTAGATACACATAGGAATGTTCTTGATGATAATAATAAATTCCAAATAATCTTTATTGAAACTTTTAATGGTGTCTTTATACAATATTTGCTTATCAATTTTCTCAGATATCACATAATTTAAATAGTAATAGGTAGCGTTTGTATTCATGATATAATTCATCATGTTATGTTGTGTAGCAAAGATAATAAAAATTCTATTTATATAGTGCAGAACATCTTATAATGGTCAATGATTATGACATGACTTTAAGTTTTGAATATGTAAATTGTAAAATTTCGGAATGATCTTCTCTTGCGTTTTCCTAAAAAGCGATGATCGGCTTAAAATTTATCCCATGGCACAGAAAATCTTTCCAATAAAGACATATGATTACTTAATTAGAAAAATTTAAGTTCAGTTTAAGGTTTTTTAAAATTTTTTTTAATCTTTTTCATGATCTTAAATTTTGGACTGACATTTATTGATAATTTGAACCATATAAGAAAAATACAAATATTAAAGATTAAACAGATTGATTGTATACATTAATTTCTCGTAGATTTCATTTTAAGAATATGATTTCCAACATCAGGAAATAAACATTCTGAAAGAACTGATGCTGCACTTGCGCAAAGATATTTCTTGCTAGTTTCAACATAATAGGCAATTCGTTTTTTCGTTCATTCCACCATAGAAAGGGGCCAACAGTTCTTGATGCTGTTGGAAAGTTAAAATATTTTTCAAATTCGCCTTGTTCCTGCTCAAATTGTTGTTGCAGGTTTCCAAAGAAATCATCGAAAACATCATTTTGACTACTGGAACTAATTCTTCATAGGGTAACCTTACACTCATTGATTGAATAGGACTATTAATTTGTTGTTGTTTTAATAGATTATATTGATCTTTAAGATTTCATTACGTTGTTCATCACTAAAAAATTTCAGTCCTTTAAAACGTGGATCTAAAGCTGATGCAAAAGCGGCTAGAAAAGAAGGAGCAGATCAATAATGATTTGATGAATTATATAAAGTTAAAATAATTTTTTCATATAATCCTATTGTTTCAACTATAGTTGTTCAACATAATTTCCTTCTTAATAAATGATCATTGCCGTATCTGTAATGCCATAATTAGCCTTTTATAGTTGCCAAAATTATCCGTAGTTATTTGAACTCTTTAAATCAAATGGCATATTAATGTATAGTTATTTTATGTTCATTCATATTGACCATTGCCATAATCACTTTTCCACCAAAAACAATTATGGCAAACAACTATAGTTTCAACAGGTCTTGATATATATCTATTTTTTTTTCTTCTTTCATCACTACTTTTTTTACGTTAACTCTACTTCATCTTTATCAGCTCCTTCTGTTAATAGTGGTGGACCTTTATCGTTTTCTTCTAAAAGTTCACTACTATCAATTGGTTCGATAATTCATTTTGAAATCATTGTCATTCACTATTACTAATACTAAAAGATAATGTGACAAAATCTCTACCACCAAGTGTTTCTGTTACTGCATCGAATTGTCCAAGTATTTCAACAAGTTTTTTAATTAATTTTCACGCATCATCAGCTGATAATAATTTTTGTAATTTTTTGCCATCTTTTTGATCATTATCCAGTATCATATGATTTTGTAAAATAATAATGGCTTTTTTGAGACATGGTAATCTCATCCACGAATTATAAGTACTGTTCCAACGTGTGGTTACATCATATATTGGTCTTAAATTTTCAGGATAATCTTCCTTTATTCTTTGTTAAGTGCTTTTTTTTAATGCAAATTTGTAATGTATGAGCTGCACAAGAAGTTCAATTAATCTTTTAATAATCTAGAGCCTAAAACCATATTACTGCCATTATCAGTAGTAATAGCAGTGATTTTTCTCTATAAACCCATTCTAATATTTCCTCCTCTTTATAATTAAGCTTGTGTGGATGTGGAACATAGAATAAGTTTAAAAGCGTCTCAATTGGTTCAAAGCTTTCAGAGAGCCATGAATAAGTTATACCCATATACCCATTTTTTTGATGTGAAGCAGTCCAAAAATTTGCGGTCAAAGAAGCAAACTGACAAGTACTAAGAAGCTTGATTTGATTTCATTAAATGAAGTGTTATATAAAGCGCTATTGATTCCTTAATTAGATTTGTGTTTGGGATTTTGAATTGGGGATTCAGAGAGTAAATAAAATTTTGAAAGTTGGAACTTTTTAAGATGTAAAAAAGGTATGGAGTCTTTTATTAAGAACTCGATTAAATTTTTTAGGATGAAGTTGAATTATTTCCTGTTCGCATTCATAAACTTATTAATATTAAAGAGAGAGCGCGTCATAATATTATATTTTAAATTATAAATATTCTCCCTGAACGAATATAAATAGCCAACATAGTTGGATGCTGATCGTCCTAATTTGTTAGTATATGAAATTGAAACTCGTGAGAAAAATCAAAAGTTTGGATATGAAATTCTGATTGGCTAATTTGAATTTCACGTTCACATAAATTTCATTTTCACGCTCAACTTTTTAAAAAAAATTTTTTTTCATAATTAATAAATAATAATAAATAATTAATTAACTAATAACTTAACAATTAAAATATATGGTATGTGCTCTGTTGAACTTCGAGCTTTATTGAATTCAGGTGTAACAGTGTAAGTTACTATCTCTTTGCAATTCCAGTGCCTAAATAATTCAATTTATATATACACTTCTTTTGATAAAGATATCACTCCTTCAGAAAATAAAGGACACAAGTTTTTAATGATTGATGTTCTGATTGTAATCCACCCAATTTACAAACAAATTCACAAACTTATGCCACAGTCCTTGCTTGATGCCTTACCTAAAAAAAAACAAAAACAGGAATATATATATTTAAATCAAAATAAAAGTAATGTTTAAATATGACAATTATATACTTCATAATCTTCATTAATTCTTTTGGCAACTTGGTTAAGAACTCTACCAACAACAGCAAAATTCATGTCTCTCAATTAGGCAAAAGGCCTATTGCCTGAATTTTCTTCTTTTCTGCTTAAGGTCGAGCAGGTGTTTGAGAGAGATGGCTTTGCTGGATTTTGTGGTTTGATTTCACCAAAGAAGAATCAACTTCTACATGTGATACTCAAATACCAAAAACTTCATCTATCAATCCTTCACAAGTTAATTGTATATAAAGTGGTGTTATCAGACCAACAGAATGATCAATGATGATAAGAGAATCCACATTTTGAGAGACTGGCATAATTCAAAAACTTTCCACCCAAAATAAAGCTCTTGAATGGATTATCTAATTCCAATGATAATAAATCACCTTCAAAGGGTATCAAAAATCTAAATGATATTTGCTGATAGTTATATGTAAAAGAAAATTAGTCAAGGAATTTTATAAAATTTTTGCAAAGTAAGGGTTAAAAAGGGAAGGAAGAAAATAAGGATATCTCCAAATACATCAGCTTCTTCTAAACTCTAGTACAAATAATAATTCTTCTTGGTACAAAAAATAAATTATACTTGTATTTTTTAACTTGAATTATTGTTCTGACAGTGGATGGATATCCGACTATATATAAATTTGCGGATCACCGGGTGAATTGGAATTGGTAAAATGGTTACACCCGGTTATAATTTTAGATGGTATAATAATAATGAGATACTATTTACTTTAGATTAAACATGTATAAAAGATTTTGAAAACAAAATTATTCAAAAGTCAAGAAAATAGCATGAAAGTGGATGTAAAATTGTGGTCATTTGTAAAACCTGACTCTATCAACATGCTCCATCAATGACAAACTTTTTGGTTATATTTTAAAAAATTCATTATCAAAGAATGCTCTTTTATTAAAAAATCGGTGTGCCAAAGTTAGGGTCATTTTTCGCCTCGTAAATCCGATTGGTTCACCAAGAGCACGTGATCGCGTTACTTTTATTCCCTATAAAAAAAAATTTACAATCAATAATTGATCAATTATTAAAATTACTTATAATTCAAAAAGATCAAATCAACACACCATTCTATTGTTGCAGGTGGTTTACTTGAAATATCATAAACTACTCTATTTACACCTAAATATATAAATAAAAATGCTTTAATTTATGCATATAAATATTTTTTTTTTTGTTAAATAAATTTAACATAATAAAGTACCTTTAACTTCATTGATGATTTTATTACTGATTCTTTTTAGTATTTCATAAGGAAATTGATACCTTTTTGAATAATAACGTTAGATTTATATTTAAGTGAAAATAATTTTAACCTAAAAGGAAAAAATAATTTACCAATCAGCCGTCATAAAATCTGAAGTTTCGACAGCTCTCAGAACAATAACTTGTTCGTAAGTTCTTTTATCACCCATCACCCCAACAGCTTTCACCGGCAACAAACAAGCATAAGCTTGACTAATTTTTCGATATAGATTTGCTTTTTTAATTTCTTCAATGTAAATATGATCCGCTAGCCTAACTATGTCTATTTGTGAGGGAGTAACCTCTCCCAGTATACGTATTGCTAATCCAGGCCCAGGGAAAGGATGCCGCCAAATTAGTTCTTCATCTAATGTTAACAATTTACCCAATTCTCTTACTTCATCTGTATAAATAAAACAAAAGTTATTTAATTGGTGATAAAATGAATGCCTCCCAATAAAAATAATACATGTGTTTTTAACCTTTGAATAATTCTCTAAGTGGTTCTATCAATTTAAGCTTCATATCTTTTAATAAGCCACCAACATTCTAAATTTATTAAATAAAAACTTAGAAACCAATAAATAATAATAATAATAAAATGTTCATTCCTTCAACTTACATGATGAGTCTTAATAACTGCACTAGGACCTTTAAAAGATATACTTTCAATAACATCAGGATACAAAGTACCCTGTAGTAAATATTCAATTTTGCCCATTGTATCATTACTTGTTTCCTGGTCAATTTTTGAAGCTTCTGATTCAAAAACCTCAATAAAAGTATTACCAATAATTTTACGTTTTTTCTCAGGATCTGTCACACCTTTGAGTTTACTCAAAAATAATTCTGATGAATCAACAACTTTCAAATTTATGCCAAATTGATCTACAAATTTTTTCTTAACCGTCTCACATTCATTAAGTCTCATTACTCCATTGTCTACCAAAATTGCATGAAACCTAAAAATAATAATATTTATGTTTATAAAAAATTAAAATTAATAATATTAATTAATTTTCAATTAATAAAATTTCAAGCTACCTGTTACCAATAGCTTCTTTCATTAATTTAGCAGCTACTGTACTATCAACACCACCACTTACTGCTCCAACCACTTGACCCTTCTCACCAACCAATTGACGAATCCTGTTAATCTCTTTATCAATAAACGATTCCTAACATATTCATACATACATAAAGTTTTTATTCTACAAATTAATATAGTTGACAATACTTTGATACTAATTATGTAACAATTATGATTTTTTTTCCTTTTACCATTGTCCAATTTTTTTTGCATTCACATATTTTAACAACAAAATTTTTAAGAATATTTTTACCAAGTGGTGTATGAGTTACTTCTGGGTGAAATTGAATACCAAATATATGTTTTTCTTCGTGTCCAATAGCTGCAAATTTAGATGTTGGTGTATTTCCGATCACTTTAAAACCATTTGGAATTTTGTCCAATTGATCTCCGTGACTCATCCAAACCTTGAGAAATAATAATACTTTTATTTATTAAAATTTACATAAACATAAACATATGTATAAAGATATGTATATATTACTATGTATGGCTTTTTGAAAAATCTTTAAGATTTACCTGAACTTCTTCATCTTCTAATCCATCAAATAATCTATCTACAAAAGGATGATTTTGATGCTTGATTATTTTTAACATTACATGACCATACTCTCTATGAATACCAGATGCTACCGATCCATCGTGATTCCAAGCTATTTCCTATATATATATGTGTGTGTGTGAATATACTATCAATTTTTTCCAATAGTAGTAATAATAATAATAATAAAATTTTTAAAAATAACCTGAAGCCCATAACATATTCCAAGAATTGGTATATTAAGGTTAAATATATCTTTATCTACATGTGGTGCATCATCATCATATACTGAGTAAGGACTGCCTGATAAAATAATTCCTTTGTTTTTTTGCAGGGAAAATATGTAAAAAAACCTCATTTAATTAATTAATTAACCCTTTAATTAACTAATTAAACGTATTTGATTTCAATCTTTTAGATAATCAAAAACCTTTTGGAGTAAAATTTAAATCGCAAATTTTTTGAGTACATGGTAACATTTCACAATAAACTCCTAATTCACGTACACGTCTTGTAATTAAATGTGAGTATTGCGAACCAAAGTCAAGAATTAAAATCGTATCGTATAATGAATGAACTTGAGTCACTTCTTTTGCCATTATTATTATTATTAAAGGTATTGTTTATTATTTATTTTTTAACTTGCAAATTTAAAATTTTTTTATCATCGGGAGATTTTAGATCATGACAATCTTTTCTATTTCGAGAAATAAAATATTTACTCTTTTGGTGAAATGTTGGAGAAATATTTTTTAGCTTTTTCAGGATTTGGTATTATTGTTGGATCACCTTTTTTCCAATTAACTATAATATTTATATAAAGTATGTGTTTTTTGAATAAATTTACTATTTATGAAAGATAAATAAATAAATAAATAAATACTTGGACAAACTTCTCCAAATTCGTTGACATGTTTAATAGCATCTAATAAACGAAGTGTTTCGTCAACTGATCGACCTGATCAATTCAAAAAAGAAAATTAAAATAATTTTACTCATTTATTTATAATTATGTTCAATCAGAAAGATAAAATTAATATTAATACCAATTGGTGCATCATTAATATGGGCGACGCGAATTTTACGCTAAATAAAGTTTAAAAAAAACAAAGTTAGAATTAATTTAAGAATTTGGTAATTTTTTAATTTACCTCATTATCAATAATTATAAGGCCTCTATAAAAAAAATATATTAATTATTAGCTCATGCACAAATATAATTCAAGTAAATTATGATGATTGTTATTAGTACTACCTTAATGGTGCCCCCATTGATTCACTCAAGACAGAATATCTTTTTGAAATTGTTTTTTTGTAATCAGCAACTAAGAATAAAATAATATTATTAGTATTATTAATATTGTTATTATTATAATCTTTTTACAAGCATATATATTATAGGCTGGTTGAATTTTCAATTTTAATATTTACCCAATGGAATTCTAGAGAAGATTGATCACGAGAAAGACCTTGAAAATTATTTTTTATTCATTGATGTAAGTAAAAACATAGAGTGAATGCAAGCTTACTTGATACCACTGATACCGCCTTGATCACGAGGGACCTTACTATAAATATTTAAAATTTGTGATTATGAATTATTTATAATAATAAATACAGCCGCTCAAAAATTTTATTCCAAATTTTTACCTCCAGGCGAGATGTGAAAACTCTGAATCACATGAAATACCTATTACTTTGGCATTACGTGAATTAAATTTTTCGATATTATCACTATAAATAACAATAGTTAGCGATATATAAATATAAATATGGTGTATAATGTATATAGATGTGTCAGAGAAATAAGTATTACGAAAAAGCAAGTAATTCTGTGGGGCAAACTGTTGATGGGAATAAAAAAAATTAGTATTAATTTCTGGTTTTTAATAAATAATACGCAACCAAATGTAAGGAAATCATCGAAGAAAAATTCCTTTACCGTAAGTAAAATCAAATGGATAAAACACTAAAACAATAAATTTTCCAGCAAAATCTTCAAGCGAAAGTTTTGTGATTTTGCCATCTACAACGGCAGTAGCCTCCCAATCGGATGCAGTTTCCTGCAAAAATTAATTAACTAATTTAGTTGAGTATCCAAATAATATAATTTTTGTAAACTAATGAACTTACAGAAACTCTGTCAATTTTTTCATTTAGCCTACGAGTGACAACACTAAAGGACCTTTCTGGGTGATAAACATTTAAACCAGGAGCACGAGTCAATAATGTAGCGAGTTGACGACGAATCATAAACATTTTATTTAAATTTTTTTTAGAGATGATTATAGATGGGAATCTAAACTAATTTATTTAGACAATGTCCTAAAATACACTCATTTACCATAAATATCCGACCACCTGACGATCATTTTAATAATTAGGAAACTTATACCTCACGCAGTTCAAAACTTTATTAATTAAACCGGGACTGGTGCATTAAGTAAACATGTTTTTAAAGTCAATTTTAATATAAACTTAAAGTTTCGTCGAGTTTGCATTATTAATGAATTTAGGATGAAAACTTTAAATTAGGCAAAAAATTTCGCGAACAATTAAAATTCAATTAAAATAATAATGACATAGAAAATCAGGAAACAAGAAATTCCGCATGTATGTTCTACAGGACTTAGGCTACAAGCTATGTATACTTATTATGTATGTTTTCGTGTAATTGGTTTTCCAAAATTTGGCTGTACCATTTGATCTAATAAAATCTATTTGAATCTGCTAAAACAAATAAACAAAGGATAAATTTATAAAGAAACTTTAAAGTATATAAATATGGTTGATTTGGACTGAGATTGATGTATTAAAGAAAAATTTTGCAATATTAAATAAACTTTATACATTTAATGATATTACTTTGAATAAATTCTTTAAAAACAATGCCGCTTTATTTGAATTTATTCATTTTATTTGTTTTGTTTGGTTTTATTCGTTTTATTAGTTTTATTCACTTTGTTCAGTTTTATTTATTTTGTTTGGTTTTATTTGCTTTGCTTGGTTTTATTTGTTTTATTTGTTTTGTTTGTTTTATCATTTTGTTTGGTTTTATTTGTTCTATTCAGTTTTATTTGTTTCGAGTAAACTTGTTTGAATAGAAATCCTCAAAGATTATGATATTATTTTAGTACAAAGAGTTTTAGAAATATTTAACCAATAACTTAAT